TAGAAGTCAGCATAGGTCACAGACTTCCAGAAACGCCTATGACATGTTTCCCTTGATAGGTTTCCCCTCTTTCCATACTATGATGCTTGTTAAAAAAAAATGGCTTCTTAACCCCGCCTGGAGGTGGAGAAGCTCACATGCACACTCTAAGTAAAGCTTAACCTTTGCTATACTTCCAGCCTCTTTAACCAAACAACCGGTTTCATCCACTTTTAGCTGGTTCTAGAATCTCTGACCTTTTCTCTCAATTTCCTTATATGGAAATATAATTGTTTCTTACCTCTCACATAAGGAAAATAGGACTAGAATAAATACATCTACAAAAAATGTATATGAAAAAATATTACTAAATGGACAGCCATTTACTATACACTGCTTATTATAATTTTATTAAGATACATCCCAGGGACTTCCACTTCTGGGAGCCAAGATGGCAGAGTAAAAATGTAGTTACTCTCACCCTCCCCTATCAACCTCTGAAAGCCCAGAAAATATCACCCCAGAAAAAACCCTGGCACAGTTGAACCAAAAGAAAAGAGAGGGGGGATAGAAGGGAGGGAAGAAGCAGTAAGGGTAAAGGGGAAGAAAAGGGAAAGGGCCAATAGAAAGGAAGGATTGAAGGAGGTGGTGGTCAAAAGCAAAACACTAGTGAGAGGGGGAAAGGAGAAAGGAGAAAGAAAAGCATAAATGGGAAAAAAGGATAGAGAAAAAGACACAGATAGTAATCATAACTGAATGTGAATGGGATGAACTCTCCCATAAAATGGAAGCAGATAGCAGAATGAATTAAAAACTGTAATCCCACAATATGTTGTTTACGGGAAACACATTTGAAAAAGAGTGACACACACAGGGTAAAGGTAAAAGGCTACAGCAGAATATATTATGCTTCAGCTGAAGTAAAAAAAAATCAGGGGTAGTAATCCTGATCTCAGACAAAGCAAAAGCAAAAATAGATCTTATCAAAAGAGGTAAGGAAGGAAACTACATCCTGCTAAAAGGCAACATAGACAATGAAGTAATATCATTACTAAACATATATGCACCAAATGGTATAGCATCCAGATTCTTAGAGGAGAAGTTCAGGGAGTAACAGGAAGAAATAGACAGCAAAACTATACTAGTGGGGGACCTCAACCTCCCCCTCTCTGAACTAGATAAATCTAACCACAAAATAAACAAGAAAGAAGTTAAGCAGGTGAATATAACATTAGAAAAGTTAGGTTTGATAGACCTCTGGAGAAAACTAAATGGGGATAAAAGAATATACTTTTTTCTTGGTGGTACATGGCACATACACAAAAATTGACCATATACTAGGACCTCACAATCCAATGTAGAAAGGCAGAAATATTAAATGCATCCTTTTCAGATCATGATGCAATAAAAATTGTATGTAGTAAAGGGCCATGGAAAGATAGACTAAAAAAAATTGAAAACTAAATAATCTAATCCTAAAAAATGATTGGGTCAAACAACAAATCATAGAAACAATCAATAATTTCATTCAAGTGAATGACAATAATGAGACAACATACCAAAACTTATGGGATGCAGCGAAAGCAGTTCTTAGGGGGAGTTTTATATCTCTAAATGCTTACATAAATAAAATGGAAAAAAAAGATCAATGAATTGAGTATACAACTAAAAAAAAAACTAGAAAAAGAACAAATTAAAAATCTTCAATTAAACACCAAATTAGAAATATTGAAAACCGAAGGAAAAATTAATAAAATTGAAATTAAGAAAACTATTGAACTAATAAATAAAACTAAGAGCTGATTTTATGAAAAAACCAATAAAATAGATAAACCTTTGGTTAATTTAATTAAAAAAAGAAAGAAGAAAACCAAATTACTAGTATCAAGAATGAAAAGAGTGAAGCTACCACCAAGGAAGAGGAAATTAAAACAATAATTAGGAATTATTTTGCCCAACTATATTCCAACAAATTTGACAATCTTAGTGAAATGGATACATATTTACAAAAATATAAATTGCCCAGATTAACAGAAGAGGAAATAAAATACTTAAATAACCTCATATCAGAAAAAGAAATTGAACAAGCCATTGATGAACTCCTTAGGAAAAATCTCCAGGGCCAGATGGATTTACAAGCAAATTCTATCAAACATTTAAAGAACAATTAATTCCAATACTATATCAACTATTTGGGAAAATAGACAAAGAATGATTCTTACCAAATTCTTTTTATGATACAAATATGGTGCTGATACCTAAACCAGGAAGAGTCAAAACAGAGAAAGAAAATTATAGACCAATTTCTCTCATGAATATAGATGCAAAATTTTTAAATAAAATATTAGTAAATAGATAACAGCAACTTATCACAAGAATAATACACTATGACCAGGTAGGATTTATACCAGGAATGCAGGGCTGGTTCAATATTAGGAAAACTATCAACATAATTGAGCATATCAACACCAAAACTAACAGAAATCACATGATCATCTCAATAGATGCAGAAAAAGTTTTTGACAAAATACACACCCATTCCTGTTAAAAACACTAGAGAGCATAGGTATAAATGGAGTCTTCCTTAAAATAATAAATAGCATCTATTTAAAACCTTCAGCAAGCATAATATGTAATGGGGACAAGCTAGAAGTATTTCCAATAAGATTGGGGGTGAAACAAGGATGTCCATTATCACCACTGTTATTCAACATTGTACTGGAAACATTAGCTTTAGCAATAAGGGAAGAAAAAGAAATTGAAGGCGTTAGAATAGGCAAAGAAGAAACAAAGCTATCACTCTTTGCAGATGACATGATGATATACTTAGAGAATCCTAGAAAATCAAGTAAAAAACTACCTGAAATAATAAACAACTTAGGAAAGTTGCAGGCTATAAAATAAACCCACATAAATCATTGGCATTTCTATATATTACCAACAAAGCCCAACAGCAAGAGATAGAGAGAGAAATTCCATTTAAACTTACTGTAGACATTATAAAATATTTAGGAGTCTACCTCCTGAAACAAACCTAGGAACTTTGTGAACACAATTACAAAACTTTTCACACAAATAAAGTCAGATCTAAATAATTGGAAAACAGTTGTTCATGGGTAGGCCAAGCTAATATAATAAAAATGACAATTCTACCTAAGCTAATTTACTTATTCAGTGCCATACCAATCAAAATACCAAAAAATTATTTTATAGAGTTAGAAAAAATAATAACAAGATTCATTTGGAAGAACAAAAGGTCCAGAATATCAAGGGAACTAATGAAAAGGAATGCAGGGGAAGGTGAACTAGCCATTCCAGATCTTAAATTGTATTATAAAGCAGCAATCATCAAAACTGCTTGGTACTGGCTAAGAAATAGAATGGTGGATCAGTGGAATAGGTTAAATATGCAAGACACAGTAGTCAATAACTATAGTAATCTATTATTTGATAAACCCAAAGACCCCGGCTCCTGGGATAAGAACCCACTCTATGAAAAAAAAAACTGCTGGGAAAACTGGAAAAGAGCATGGCAGAAACTAGGCATAGACCAGAATCTCACCCCATATACCAAAATAAAGTCAAAATGGGTTCATGATTTAGATATAATGGCTGATACTATAAGCAAACTGGGAGAGCAAGGAATAGTTTGCCTATCAGATCTATGGAGAACAGAAGAATTCATGACCAAAGAGGAAATAGAGAACATTACAAAAAGCAAAATGGATAATTTTGATTACATTAAATTGAAAAGTTTTTGTACAAACAAAACCAATGCAACTAAGATTAGAAGGAAGGCAGAAAATTGGGAAAGAATTTTTACAACCAGTGTCTCTGATAAGGGCCTCATTTCTAAAATATATAGAGAATTAAGTCAAATTTATAAGAATATAAGCCATTCCCCAATTGATAAATGGTCCAAGGATATGAACAGACAGTTCTCAGATGAAGAAATTAAAGCCATCTATAGTCATATGAAAAAATGCTCTAAATCACTATTGATTAGAGAAATGCAAATCAAAACAACTCTGAGGTACCACATTATACCTATCAGATTGACCAACATGACAAAACAAGAAAATGATAAATGTTGGAGAGGATGTGGGAAAATTGGAACAGTGATGCATGGTTGGTGAAGCTGTGAAATGATCCAGCCATTTTGGAGAGCAATTTGGAACTATGCCCAAAGGGCTATCAAAATGTGCATACCCTTTGACCCAGCAATAGCACTTCTAGGGCTATATCCCAAAGAGATCATACAAATGGGAAAAGGACCCACATGTACAAAAATATTCATAGCAGCTCTTTTTGTGGTAGCAAAGAATTGGAAATTGAGAGGATGCCCATCAATTGGGAAATGGTTGAGCAAGTTGTGGTATATGAATGTAATGGAATACTATTGTGCTATAAGAAATGATAAACAAACCGACTTCAGAAAAACATGGAAAGACTTGTATGGTCTGATGTTGTGTGAAGTGAGCAGAATCAAGACAACGTTGTATACAATAACAGCCACATTGTGCGATGACTAATATTGATAAATTTAATCCTTCCCAGCAATACAAGGATCTAAGACATCTCCAAAGGCCTCATGATGGAAAATGCTATCCACATCCAAAGAAACAACTATGGAAGTTGAATTGTTATTTTTTTTCTCTTCTGTTGAGGTTTGTTTCATCTTTCTGATGGCTCCTCCTATTGGTTTTAATTTTTACTTACAATATCACTAATGTGAAAATATGTTTATTAGAAATGTAAATGTATAGCCTGTATCAGATTGTGTGCCATCTTGGGGAGGGTGGTGGGGAGGAAGGGGGAGAAAAATTTTAAACTCAAAAGCATATGGAAGTGATTATTGATAAATCAAAATAAATTAATAAAAATTTTTTAAAAATACATCCCAAATTAATCTATAGGTTTAATGCTATACTCATGAAAATACTAATGGGACACTTCATAGAACTTAATGAAGTAACAAAATTCATGTAGAAGAACAAAAGTGAAGAATAAAGGGGGAAATCATGAAGAAAATGAAGAACCGAGCTGTGAGATCTCAAAATATTTGTTAAAGTGATAACTATCAAAACTATGTGATATTCTTCCTTACAACATGACTAATGTGGAAATATGTTTAATAGGAATGTATCCGTAGAGCCTATATCAGATTGCAGGGCCCTCCTGGGGAGGGAGATGGGGAGGGAGGAAGAGAAAAATTTAAAACTCAAAAGCTCATGGAGGTGATTGTTGAAAATTTTAAATAATTTAATAAAAAAACTATGTGGTATTGGATAAAAAGAAAAATAGATCATTGTAATAGATGAGATAAACAAGATTTAGAACCAAATGCATGGGGTAGCCTAGTGTTCAATAAACCAAAGAACATAAAACACTATGGAAGAGATGGCAGTTTGGCTTATAAAAAACATTGGAATACACCAGTATCTTATACCATATACCATAATAAATTAAAGCTCTAAATATGTTTAAATCACATCCTTAGTGAAATTTAATAATGGAATATTATGTTTTTTCATAAATGTGGAGATGACGGGGAAAGGTCCTAACTAGCTCTGACTTACAAAAAGAAAATAGATGAATTTGATTATACAAAAATTAAAAGCTTTTCCACAACCAAAAGTAATCTATTTAGAATAAGGAGGACGGATACAGACAAGGGGAAATCTGAATTAAGCTTTTTTTTTTAATAGAAGTCTGACATCCAAAATCACAGATACAGCACGTAGTAATTGCTTATTAAGTGTATTTAACTTGAGCTGACAGCAGTAGAACGGGGGCGTGGCCACGCACCCTGGGGGCGTGGCTACAGGTGGCGGTTGGGCGGCTCGGGAACGCCTTTTCCGGTTCCACCCACGTGCTGCGTGCGGCGCCTCCTGGGCGGAGGGGGAGCGGTCTAGTGGCCGGAGGTCGGGAGGTGGCCTTCGCGACCTCGCCATGGCGGTGGATGGGGCTGTGCTCGCACGGCTGTTCATTTTGGGTCCTTATTCTAGCGCCTCGTGGGCCCCGGTGATGACAAGTAAGGAGCATTCTCAACGACACCCCCACCCCCTCCGGCCAAGGGCAGGGAGAGGTTTGTGGCCAGGCCGGGGTCGGCCGAGCGCGGTGGGAGCCGCTGGTTCCGGGGCTTGTGGGCCTCGGGGAGTGAGGGCTCTTCGGGGAGCTGAGCCCTTCGTTGCGTGTGTGCGCATGCGTACGTGAGGGACACTCCCCCCACACCTTTTTCGTTCCCCAGCTTCTCTAGCGTTTTGGGCTCTGAACTATTTTGTTCGCTTCCTGTCGGACTGCTCATTTCTTTCCTTTATTCTCTGGCCTTTCTACTTCAGTTTCTGGCCGAACCTCGGCCGGAAGATGGTACCTTGTGCTTCCGTTAATCAGCGCGGACATGGGGGGTGGGCATGCGGGAGGAGAGAGGAGGTCGATTGCGCATGCGGCCTGGGCCTTTTTGTCACCTCACTACACTTGTACCCTGTGGACGAGTGAAGCTGACTCGTTCCTATTGAAGTAAAAAGCAGCTCCTTGTTTCAGTTGTGGTTCAGCAACGTCCAATTTTACATGACCTCCGTGGACGGTCCGTGGAGTTTTCTTGGCAGAGATACGGGAGTGGTTTGCCATTTTTTTCTCCAGTGTGTACCCGTTTTACAGATGAGGAACTGAAGCAAATAGGAGTTAAGTGACTTGCACAGGGAGTGTCTGAGGTCACATTTGAACTCCTGACTCAAGGCTCTGTGCTCTATCCACCTAGCTGTCCCTACCTACATTCCTTTATGCGTGGGGGGGGTGGGGGGACAGAGGAGCGACAGTAACCTATATTTTAAGTGTATGACATATACCTGCTTTACCCTGGCTCCTAAACACTCAGTTCATATCCCACCTGGAGAAGACTTTATCGACTCCCCCCCCCCCCCCCCCCCCCCCGTACTTTCTTAGGTTTCTTTCATTTTCACTGCCTCTGTCCTGTGTTTACCGTTTTTGCATGTTGACTCTCCCAATAGAACCCGCTGGAATAAAATGGTGATTGTCTTATTATACCTTGGCATTAAATGTTATATCTGATAGCTTTTTCTCTGTGTTCATCCAGTTTCACCTTTGACAATTGACCATCCCCTCTTCTGGACTCCCTTTCCTTCTTTGGTTTCTGTGACATTGTTCTCTCTTAGTTCTCCTCTCACCTTACAATTTCTCAAAGTCTACTTCAAATTCATCTCGTCAACATTCAGCCTGGGTGTCTCTTAAGATTGGCTTGAGTCCTCCTTTTCTATTTTGTGTTCTGCTTCTGTAGATTGAATTATCGTCCCTATTACAAGTGATTCCTAAATCTATATATACAGCCTTAATCTTTCTACTCCTACATTGCCAGGTTCCCAAAGGACTTCTTCATCTCAATGTTCTTTTGTTATCTTCGGTTCATTATAACCAAAACTGAACTCATTGGCTGTTCACAATGTCTAGCTTCTTCTAATTCTCTTTGAAGTAAATATTTCTGTTATTTAAAAAAAAGAAGCCATCCAGTCCAACCCTTGCCCAAAAAAGATTCCCTCTATGACATACTGGACAACTATGTATCTTTTTAAAATTTAATTTTTTTTTCAGTTACTCTGACAGTAATTAGAAAAAAAAGGGAATTCCCTCTCCCCCAAAAAAGAAGGAAAACCTTTTGTAACAAAACTATATTGGCCAAGTCCCAGAAATGTATATCTCATTCTGCATTTTAAATGACAAAAGTATTCAACCTTTTGTTACACACCTCAAGTGAAGGCATAGTCGATGGGGTGGGGAACCTGCAGCCTCAAGGCCACAAGTGGCCCTCTAGATCCTTGGGTTCTGCCTTTTGACTGAGTCCAAGTTTCACAGAACAAATCTTTTTATTAAGGGGTTTTGGTCTGTGAAGTTTGGAATTGGTCAAAGGACTGCACTTGAGGACCTAGAGGGCCACAAGTGGCCTTGAGGCTACAGGTTCCCTACCCCTTTTTTTATTGCTTAGCACAGTACTTGGCATGTAGTGGGTGCTTAATCAGTGTATATTAACTGAGTGGGAACCTGCTGCTTCCTGAGCACCCCATTTTATTTGTATATCTCTAAGAAGAAAAACTTTTGTGAAGTCTAAATTAATCTCTGAAATTACTAAATTACTGAATTAGTCTTGCATTAGTTACTTCTCATTCTGTTTTCTGGGGACCATCCTCTTTCCATGTGATAAACCTTCAAATACTTGAAAGACAGTTATATACTAAGTCTTTTTTTGTTCAGGTTAAACATCCTCAATTCCTGCACTGTCCTAATATTCCATGGCCTTGAGGCCATTTACCATCGTGATTCCACTCCCTCAAACACTGTCCAATTTATCAGTGTCCTGCCTAAAATGTAGTGGCAAGAAATGAACACAGTACTGTATTCCAGATGTGGTATGAGGAGTAGGGTATAATGAGATGGTCATCATTTTATTCCTAGATGCTTTGCTTGCTGCCTAAAGTTTTTTAAAGCTTTTTTGGCTGTCATAAGACTGAAGAACAGCAATCTTTCTAGTTTGGCTGAAAGGGAATAACATAAAAAAAGTTGAAAAGAAAAGTAAATTGGAACCGTATTGTGAATGACCTTGAATACCAGAATAAGATAATAATATTGCATCCTCTAGGTAGTGGGTAAGTCTTGGAACAAGATAGTAACTGGATAATAACTTGGAACAAACCTGCATATTAGAAAGATTTATTTTGGCAGTTGTGTTAAGATTGTATCTGAGAGTGAAAAGATGATGTAGAGAGATCAATTAGGAAGCTTAATATGTCCTTAAAAGAAATAATGAAGCCCTCAATTAGGGTGATGGCAGTAGAAATAGAAAGGTATAGTAATTGTAAAGTTTATATTATTTGATGTTATAGTTATTGTTTTATATTATAGTTATAATGATAGGACTCCAGTATGGAATGACTTATGGTAAGTGGTCCTAATTGTCATAAAAGTATATAGGCAAAGACAGACATTTTATACTTTTCTGCTGTGAATTCTGTGTCAGGCAGATAAGACTTGCAGATGAAACACTGGCTGCAAGTGAAGGAAATTTCCCCTACTCATTCAAGCCTGGTATAGATAAGTGACCTCCAGAACTTCTCTACCACATTTGGGTCTGATTTGGAATGCCTCCTCCTATCTGGAACCAGTTACCTGTTCTGTGCTGAGTACGTTGTGAGCACATATAACTTTGCCACCTGAACCCCAACGTTGAGTGTGTTTCCTCCCCATATGTTTCCCTTTCGCTTGCCCTGGAGTTTCTTGCATCTGGAACTTCTATTTATATTGCCATGTAGCCTGTGTGCGTGTGCTTTTTTTTTTTTTTTTTACCTGCTTGCTGTACCATGTAATAAAGCTCTTGATTGTATCAGTGTCCTGAATATCAGTTTTTTTTTTTTAGAAATTCTTCATTCTAGATTTTTGCTTTAACCTGAGCCTTGAGGCCAAATAAAGCAAAGGAGTTTAAAATTTTTTTAAATAATTTTAAACATTCTCTTTTTATATTTTGAGTTCACAATTCTCTGTCTTCAGGCACTGCCCCGCCCATTGAGAAGGCAAGATATGATACCTATTATATATGTGAAATCATTCAAAATATATCTCCATATTAGCCACCTTGCCAAGGGAAAAAAGACAAGAAAAACAAAGTGAAAAAAAAAATTTTTCCATCAGCACTTAGTCTATCAGTTCTCTCTCTGAGAGTGGATAGCATTTTTTATTATGAGTCCTTTGGAATTGCATCATTGTATTGATCAAAGTAACTAAGTCTTTCACTGTTGATCATAGTTACAGTATTGCTATTAGTATGTAAAATGTTCTCCTGGTTCTGCTCTCTTCACTTTACATCAGTTCACATAAGTCTTCCCAGGATTTTTGGAACCCATACCCCTTGTCATTTCTTATAGCATAATAGCATTCCATCTCAATCATATACCACAACTTGTTCAGCCATTCCTCACCTGATGGAATCCCCTCGATTTCCAATTCTTAAGTAAAGGCAATGGAACAAATGTTGAAACATCAGGAGGACTTGGCAAATGATTAAATATTGAGGTGTCAGAGGCAAGTAGAATGTAAACAACTTGAAGTTGGTAGTCATCTTTTTGTCTTTGTATTCCAACTACCTGGGACGGTTCCCTTCACATAGTAGTTAATAAATGCTTGTTGCATTGCTTTACAGCAAGTCGAATTGTCTGAGATGATTAAGGCTTTGACCCTAAGTAACTGGGGGCATCCATACAGCTAAAGAATGGAGAGGATTGAGGAAGATTAGTTTCATTTTTGTTTTTTATATATTGCATTTGAAATGCTAATATTAGATGCAGATTAAGGCTGTTAAAATTAGAAATTTGGAAGTCATTCACGTGGAGGGAGTAATTGAAAGTGAGAGCAAGGTGGTGGGAGAGATGACATGGGTAAGGGAGTGAGAGTACAAAAGAGAATAATAAGGCTGGGAGGTGACTTGGTGAAACCTTAGGGGCAAGAGAAAGAGGACCCAGTCTAAGAGGCCAAGGACAAGTGATCAGAAAAGTTTTGCAAAAGAGTCCAGAGAGACTAGTGACCTGAAAAGAGATTGGAGGAATGATACCAAAGAAAGGCCTAGGAGAACGAGAATTGAGAAAAAGCCGTTGTGATTTAAAATGAATATCACTCATTTAACATCTGGCTTGCCTGACATTTTGCTCAGTATTTATTAGCTTTGAAGAAATGCTTGGGAAATTTAGAAAGTCTGCCTATTGAAATTTTTTAATTGAGCATCTTTTCAAACCCATGCTCAAGGACTTTTTTGATTATTTCATAAGTGAAGAGACACATGGTGAAGCTGTATAGCATGTTGTAAATGAGTACATACACCAGACACTTCAGAATTCTTTTAAACAAGTTTTACCAAATGTAAGGCAAATACTACTAATTCCACGAGTGGACACTCATCTCACAGTGATGGGCATAGCCATTTAAATAGATATTTGTTGAATTTCCCATTTCAAGATGAATTATTTAATTCACAAT